TTGCCCCAGGACAACCCCGCCAGAATCTGCGACGAACCCCAGAAACCAAATCCACAGTCACTGCGACCCCCTGACGAACACACCCACAAATCGACAGAGGTGCGAGAAAAAGGGCCGGCGGAATGAGCGAAGCGATGGAATAAGAGCCGGTTGCGCCATGGGTTGAGCCCTCTGGGGCCGAGAAAAAACCGTCTCCGATCGGTTTCGCCATAACTTGCGCCCTGTGCGGCCGAGAATAAAGCCGTCTCCGATTGGTTGCGCCATAAGATGCGCCCTAAACCGTCTCCTATTGGCTGCGCCACAGGATGCGCCCTCGGCGGCCGATAATAAAACAATTTCCTATAGGTTGCGCCATCGGTTGCGCCCTCGGCGGCCGAGAAGAAAACCGTCTCCTGTCGGTTGCGCATAAGTTGCGCCCTCGGCCGCCGAGAATAAAACCGTCACCTGCCGGTTGCGCCACAGAATGCGCCCTCGGCCGCCAAACTGTCTCCTATAGGTTGCGTCATAGGTTGCGCCCTCGGCGGCCGAGGAAAAACCGTCACCCGCCGGCTGCGCCACAGAATGCGCCCTCGGCCGCCGAGAATAAGACCGTCTCCTACCGGTTGCGCCACAGAATGCGCCCTCGGCCACCGAGAATCAACCCGTCTTGTAACGAAGGCGACCAGTCAGTTCAGTTCAGTTCAGTTTACTTCAGCTCAGTCCAGACTGGTCCAGCCCAGCTTACTTCGCAAGAAACAAATCTGGGCTACGCCCGAAATCAGCCCAGGGATGGCCAACCGAGTGGGCCAGCCTTCCCCCTTCCAAGCACATGCTCGAAGGACTCCTTGCGCGCTGGCACCCACTCAGACGAACTCCGCTGCACGTTGTTCTCTCACTCCCCCAAAAAAGTTCTCCACGGAACCGCATGCTTCGGAGACGAGACCGCTGACATCGGGGGCCGCTTCTTGCCTCCCCCCAAAGAAACTCATGCGGTCGGAGACAAGAAATCCCGGCCTCGACATGTCCCTGATCCCGATCAATCCCGCTGATCTCTCGCCCTCAGGCACCGTCTGGTCGGCACTGGGGAGCCCGCCGCACTTAGCTCTCGTGGGCCGCCCCTTCTCTCGGACACAGCTGGGCGACTGCCACGCCAACCCCGCGCAAAGTCGGGCGGGCGCCGGGCAGCCCCGATGCGTCGGCATAATCCTACTGGGCCCCTTTCACCTGATGCGTTCTTGAACACTGCCGCATTAGCTTGCGGTTGCCTCAAGTGCATCGGGCCACTCGGGGGCCCATGCGCAATAAACTAGAAGTCGCGCCATCACCACGGTGCTCATCAACCAGCTTGCGTCGACTCTCTCTGAACTTGATCGCGTCCTGTGGCGCTGGCTCTGGCAGCGCTTGGGACACTTCCGCGAGCTTCTCGCAGCAGCCCCGTCGATGAGCCAGCGCGCCTTTTGGGTCGCCGCAGTGGGCGCGCCCCCTTAATTGAGCAAGCCCAGGGTCGAGGAACCCCGCAGGAACATAGAAACCCGCCTGGCCATAACTTTCGAATCGCCCCTCTCCGACCGCGACAGGGCATCTTGAGAACCGCCTTTCTCGTGGCCCTTCGCTATATGATCTCGCCGCAAATACTCTCAGGTAGGCGTTCTAGAACGCGCGCGACCTGAAAATCGTTAGACAGACTGCACCAACTTGCCTTCCAGCTCCTTCGGTTCCACCTGATGTTATGAACTCACCTGGCCCAAGTCATCTGCCATGTCCGCGGGCCTCAGCAGCTTCCCGTTGACGCTACCCAGCGTAAGCCGCACTGTCGGCATCGGTCCTCTTGCTATCTGCCACGTCGGCTTGGTGCCCGAAAACTTCCCCGCCGCGCGTTCCCACGCATGGTGTGGATCCGACATGGTCGCGGCGTTGTCCTACGCAGGACTCGGTTATCCCTTGGCCAACGATTTCGTGCAATCGCGAATGGAGCCCGTTCGATCGCCCGTTCGATCGCCATGCTGAATAGAAGGGTAAAGCGCAAAGTATACATGTCTGGCCGCCCCTATCATGCTGCCAGCGTAGGTGCGCAGCTGCGGGAATACCGCGCATGTGGCCCCCCTGACTCCGGCGCCGCGCCCCGCCGATGGTAGAGGCCCCGCGCGCCACAGCACTCCCACTCTCTCGTGCGCCAGATCTCTCAACATCCGCACCTTCCTCCTCCGTTCCGTAAGCTCCCTCTTCCTCTCCGTCTACTGCTTTCGCAGCACGCGAACCCTGTGCAACTCGTGTCCTGGATGACGGGTGTGCCGTTTGGAGCTGCGCGCCTCAGACGCTTCACCCCGATGAGAACGCCCTGTTGGCCCTGACCGTAGAAGCAAGAAAACCAAACGTGTTTTTGTGCAGTATCAATCCCAAATTCAGCGCGTCACCTGCTGAGTTCCTGACACACGTGTGAAGGACCCCAGCTCCTTCGGAATCCTGTGCCACTGCATAGTGGCATCATCCATAAGTACGTGCGCGCGCCGTGCCGGACCTCAGATACACGCAGTCCATGGGCCTGCGCATGACCACTTTGAGCACCGTAGTAGCGTGGGTACATCCAGCCAGAATGCTTTGGTGTGGGATGAACGTGTTACCCACATTCGCGCATGCGCGCACCGTGGAAGGCACCATGCACATGTGGAAGACCATCCACATGACGCGCATGGGTAACCAAGACACTGGGCATCCGTCGAGATCTGAGGCCATGATGTTGCTTCATGACGTTTGGACACACCGGCGAACACCGGAATGGCATGATGCTCTCTAGCGTGCGCAGCCTCCGCATCTAAATTTAGGTAGACTGCGCAATCGCTCGGCGTTCGCCCTGGGCCCCCTCCACAGAAAGACGGACGTATCTGCTCGTGAGGCCAACGGAGGAGAAGCAGCGTACAACGACTGCACCAAGCTGCAAGCGTCTCAAATGCCTCATCAGGCAAAAGCCCAACTTGGCTCGGGCAGGCTCGGACACGCCACCGTCCTGCGCGCTGGGTGGACAAAGAAGAGCACGTCGCAAACCCGCGCCACACAGCTTCGGCAAATGCA